GGGGGCAGGGGTCACCGGCCATGACTCTGGGACTCACCTAGAGCCGACCTCCTGCTCAGGCCACCGGGGAAGGAGTGGGGTCCCTGGACTGCCCCTGTGGTCGCGGCTGCCCCTCCAGGGCCAGGAGAGAGGAGTCCCGCCTGCCGGCCAACCCACGTCGCCAGGAAGGGCCCGAGCTCCCCGCCCCCGGAAGGCGGCCCCAGGCAAGGGGATGGGTTGGGCCATCCCGGCCCCGCCCTCCCCGTCCCGAAAGCTGCCGAACCCAGGCGGGACGCACGCGGAGGGGAGGGCAGGATGTGGGGACGCGCCGCAGTCCCTCCCGGCACCAGGCTGGGGCTGTGTCTGTTCCCTCCTCGGAGGGGAGGCCTGAGGGGCAGGCGGCTGGGCCTGGTGCATGCTGTGGCCCGGACTGGACACCCAGGGGCCTGAGGGAGGAGCCGAGGTGCGACCTTTGACCTCAGATGACTAACGGTGGGATTTGGGGGAGGCTTGGGGCCCTTTGACTGGACCACCCCCAACCCATAAACTCTTTTCTGTTGTCGCCATTGATCGGGCCCCTAATCCGAAGCGCGGGTCTCCCCCTCCCCCCGGAAACACTCCCGGGCTCCCCTCTCCATCTGTCAACTTCCTCCTCTTCCGGACGGACGCTGGTGTCCTCGCTCAGCCCTGGGCCTGTCTCTTCTCTGTTCCTCTTGCTTCCTGCCTGACAATGATGCCATCTGGGCTGTGGCACCCCCAGCCCAGCAGCTGCTCCCTCCCCGGCCATGGGGGTCCAGGGGTCCCACTACCATTCTGCCTAGAGCCTGTGATGTTAACTAGCTCGCTCAGACACACGACCAGGTGGCTACAGGGGCAGCAAGGCCCGGCACCTCGGCCTCCTACCCACCCCTGCCTTGGTGCTCTGACTTCATCTGCTAACCGCGCCCCCCCACGCTGGCCTCCTCCATGAACCTTCAGGCGGGCACCCCTTCACGGCCTCGGTGCCTGCCGTCTCACTTGCCTGGGACATTTTTCCCAAGAGACCCCCACACTGGCTCCCTCACTTCTGTTCCCAGAGGTCCTGTCCTCATCTGGCTTCCCGAACCCACTTCATGGAGGAAGCTCTTCCGTCCTCACTGCTTTCCTCCACAGCACGCACCTGCCCTCTCATACACGACCTGGACTCACGTCGTGTTGCGTATCGCATATGTGCTTATCGTAGCCTGTTGTGTGATCATGTATCACATGCGTGTTTATCGCCTCCCGTGGTGTATTCATGTAGCACGTATGTACTGATTGCCTCGTGTGGTGTGTTTCTGTATCACATATGTACCTGTTGTCCCGTGGTGTATTTATGTATTACACGTGTACTTACTGCCTGGTAGACCAGCTCCAGGAGGGCAGGGATTTTGTCTCCTTTGTGGAATGAATGAATGAATGAGTGAATTTAGAAAGTGGATTATGAAAGGGAGTTTCCCCTGGGAAGTGGAGGGGCCTAAGGCCAAGGGTCCCCCCCGCCACGCGGAGCCGCCCACAGTGGACAGCAGAGCAGAGAGGACTCAGGGCC